ATCGTGTGCACTTAGTGTGCTTGAGTTTATCTGTTGTACATTTAGTGTCGTGCATATCATGGTGTTTTGGTGGGATGAATCATTGCTCAGTAGGAGTGTATGTGATTCATCTGTACTCCTTTGTGGAGAATGGTGGGGATATATCATTGCGAAAGAGGGGTGTATGTGATCTATCCGGGGTTCGATTGAATGGACCAATGAGTCGGTACCGCATGCATGGTGTTGAGTTGCATATTTGCATTATTGTATGTTGTGGTTGATGGTGGACACTAGGTCGGGTTTGTTGAATGTTGGGTGACGAGTTGTATGATTACTACCTTTGTTTCATGTATCTTATTACTGATAATTCTGATCATGTTTTCTCACCCCTTTGTTGTTGTTGTGGTCTGTGCTTCTTCGTAAGTACAGATAATCCAGGTACATAGCTAGCTTGGATAGTGGTGTGTGAGTCGAGTCTTAGGATGCTCTAATACGTAGCACGGGACTTGGGTGTCTATCTGTTTTATGTTGAATTTGTTTTACTCGTGTGACGTATCTTACTTTGGTGAACCTTCTTAATGAACGTTTTATGTAATTTGGCGGATGACCGAGAATGATGGATTAATAATAATTTCCACTGCTTTATTTTGAAAACATCTAATAAAGTGTTTTGGTGAATTTTACGATGTGATATGCCACTTTGGTGGAGAAACTCTGATGATTATTTGAAAATATTTTATTTTATTTTATGGTTGGAAAGTGGGGTGTTACAGTATCACCATCTTACCACTACGCAAATGCATGCACCCAAATCCTAGGGTTCCACTGGGTGTGCCAATTTGTTCGTACACAGTTTTTGCGTGAACAACCTCTGACCTCCTAACACAGGTTTACTTGTGGGACCGGTCAAACGAGTCCGATAATACTTTGTTTGGGATGTATGGGAAAATGGCAGAATAATGTCTATTTGAAATAGGCTGAGAATTATTTGTAAGTAAAACTGAAAACTAGATAAATATGTGTACAAAGGAGCGAGAAATAACTTATGTAAATGAGTAAAAACAAGGCAAAAACACTTTTAGAATTAATGACATAAATTTCTTATAAAAAGGGAAATTTTGACGTGATCGTACATCTTGTAGGAGTGAAAACTCTTTTCTCGTAACACTTTGGTACTCAGAGTGTTTTTCTTACAGTATTACAAAAATGCGCCTTTTAAAATGAAAACATGTTTTGCTTTAAATAAGGAAATAAATAACTGCCATGTTGAATCTGGTGATGCCACCCGTTCGCCCACTACTTTTATAACTTCCCACGTTCTTAGATTTCAAATCCATTTCCCGCTCAAATAGTTGTCTCTTTGCATAGAATTTAGTTGACCCAGTCGACCGACACCATCTGGGTCGATCTAACAATCTTCCTCTTGTCGACGTCGACCCTCTTCATTAATACATTACTTAGCCTGTCGACCAATCTCTGTGTCGCTGCTCTCTAGTTGAAACTTCCAGTCAACAATGGCTTAGTGGACACCCGAAAGTCTCGCAAAGGAAAGTGAATTAGTCTGATTCATGTTAGAGGTGAAACTTTTGTTTTATTTTAAGTTTTTAAAACAATTGAGAATGGTCACTAAAATCAGTCACTAAATTCGTCTCAAAAAGTTAACGACTAGCGCATATATATATATATACACACACACACACACACACACACACACATTACCGTCGACCAAGGTCGACACTAAATTTCATACACATACGATAAATAACGTCTCTAAAGGCTGACACTATCAAAATATTTAGCGTCGACTTAAGTATAAAAATAAAACACAAATAAGGTTACGCCTCCAAAAGCCTAAGCAAAATGAGTTATTAGCATTAACTTAATTGAAGCTAACGTAAGAAACATAAATAATGTTGGGTCTGCACAAGCCGACACTAGGCATCTAAATAACGTCGACTTTTCAATCATGTCTTAGGTGTTGGGTGAAATAGTATATTCATACAAGTCCTACATCAGATAATAGGAAAAAAATATAATTTGAGTATTTATATAAATAGGAATAGTTAGTTTTACTTTTTTATACAACAACAAAATGTAGTCTTTGGGTGTATTAGGGATTTTGGTAGTTGAGTGTCAAGAGAAGGTTTTCTATTTTTCTGTTCAAAAATAGTTTGCTGATAAGACTTTCTATTTTTCTTTTCAAAAATAATTTGTTGAGAGGGTTTATAATTTTTCCATCCAAAAATTTTAAATGAGAGGGTTTAAAGTTTTTCCAAAAATTGTAATTGAGAGAGGGGTTACAATTTTTCTGTTCAAAAATTATAATTGAGAGAGGGTTTACAATTTTTCCTTTCAAAAATTATAATTTAGAGAGGGTTTACAATTTTCTTGTTCAAAAACTACCGTTTGAAGGGTTTGCAATTGTATCCTTAAAAATTGTAATTTAATGAGAGTTGTAATTTTGTTTTGTAAAGATTAGAAGTTGAGTTATGATTTTGTGAGTTTTATTTTTTTATTTTTCTTCTTTTTCTTGTTTTATGGATGTGCTTCTGTGTGCATCGATATTTGTTTATTTGTTATTTTCTCAACAGCTGGTATCAGAGTGAATGTTCCGATCAAGGGAGGAAGGAAGAGTAACACAAATTCCAATCAAGGGAGGAAGAAGATAAAAAGATTGAAGAGTAATAATTTTACAAATGTGGTTAATCATTATAATTTTAATGATCACTTTGAAGATGAAGACAAAGTGTAAATATGTGATACTTTGGATGAAGGAAAAATTTGTTGGGTCAAATAGTATATACATCCAAGTCTCACATCAGATAGTAGGAAGAAAATAGAATTTGAGTATTAATATAAATAGTGATAGTTAGTTTTAATTTTCTATACAATAATAAAATGTAGTATTTTGGATGTATTGGAGATTTGGACAATTGAGCGTTGAGACAAAGTTTTCTATTTTTCCATTCAAAAATAGTTTGTAAATGAGATTTTCTATTTTTCCGTTCAAACATAGTTTGTTGAGAGGGTTTGCAATATTCCATCCAAAAATTGTAATCGAGAGAAAGGTTACAAATTTTCAATTCAAAAATTATAATTGAGAGATGTTTTACAATTTTTCCGTTAAAATATTGTAATTGATAGAGAGTTTGCAATTTTTATGTTCAAAAAATGTAGTTTGGAGGATTTGCAATTTTCTCTTTAAAAATTGCAATTTAATGAGAGAGTTTGTAATTTTATTTTATAAAGATTAGAAATTAGAATTATGATTTTGTGATTTTTATTATTTAATTTTTGCTTCTTTTTTCTTTTCTTATAGATGTGCTTCCGTGTATGTAGATATTTATTTATTTGTTATTTTTCTAACATTAAGTTCCCTATAGCATCTCATCAAATCGACTTTACTAGAGTCGTCTGCCCCGCCACCAATGCTAGGCTGATAGTAATAACTCATTAGTGTCGGCTTTTGGCCTTGTAGTGTATGCTTTCGACTTTTGTCCTTGTAGCTTATGCTTTTAGCCAAAACTCAAGTACAATTTTCTTTTTAACCTATTTTAACTTCTCTTTAAAGTCTCCTTAAATGAACGCTCTTTAGCGCCGACAACGCTATTGTAAACTTCATGATTAAAGATGTCAGCCACGACTCCGAGATTGAGTCAACGTGTTTGCTTAGGCCTTGTCACTACTAGAAATACACAGATTACATGCGGAATTTCCTGCGGAAATATTTCCGCAGCAGTACCTGCGACTTTACCTACGCCTTTATATTTTGAAACATTATTTCCTGCGAAAACCTAATAGCAGCAAATTTCGCAGAAATTCCTGAGATTTTAGATTTAAAAATAAAATATAAGTTTCCTGCGGATTTAACTACGATTTCCTTCACAAGAATTAGTTATCTATCGAGACCACAAAATTCTTTGGAAATATCGCAGGAATTGCTGCGGAATTTGCTGTAAACGTTTCTGCGACTTTTGCTGCAAATTGTTTAGTTTATTTTTAATTTTTACGATTGGTAAATAAAATTATAAAACACATTCGAAGAAAATGTTGTTGAGACATTTTTTAATTTTATATTAAATTTTTGTTTTTCTTAAAAAAACTATAATATTAATTGAGATTTTTTAGTTTTTTTTAACGAAAATTTATTTATTTAATACTTTTTTATTGTTATATTAAAAAGATAATAAAATAAAATAACCCTTTTACTTTTTTAATCCCTCAACATATATTTGTTGTATTAAAAAGGTATTAAAAAGGTAATAATACTTTTTTAATCCTTCAACTTATAATTTTTTTTTAAATTAAAATTTAAAAAGGTAGTAAAATAACCCTTTTACTCAATTGATAATATATATTTTTATATTATATATAATCCTTTTATTTATTTTGTGTATTAAAATATTTTGGTGAAATAATTAGATTATTATGCTAGAGATCCATTTATTAATTTGCAATTCACTTTTACAATTTAAAAGTTGATAAAATAAAATAAATATGCTGATTTACCACTACTAAAATTACTCTGTTTTCCTGCGGACTTACCTGCGGATTTTGACAAAATTTCCGCAGAAAACACGTTTCCTGCGATTATTTGTTTCCAACTAAAACCTCCGTGAGTAATTAACATAGCAGGTAAAGTCCCAGAAAATAGTCGTAGGAAAGAGTCGCATTAAAAAGTCGCAGGGTAATGTCGCAAGTAAAACAGCTAAATTCGCAGGTAATACCACAGATAATTATAACCTTTGCAGGAAAGTCGCAGCAAACTGAAATAATATAATTAATTTTGCAGTTAATTTCTCTCTCATGTTTTTAATTTTTATTATTAATTGTGTTTAATTCATATTTAAAATAATATAATTAATGTATTTAATAATAATATAAAAATAAAAATCAAATTTGAATTAAGTCAATGCAACACTAATCACATTTAAATTTTTAAAGTCAATAACAAGTATTTCTAGAGTTACATTACTAAAAATGACATAATCAAGTTACTAATAATCACTTCTACAACCAAATTAATAAGAAAAAACAATGCAACAAAGATAAAGGCAGTAGCAACCATATGCCATGGTATCATGTATCTCTGGTGCATGACCTCCATAATTGTGAGAGTGTTCGCTAGCCTTGCTCATCATCAAATTCAAGCCATGATTGATCTTACCTCGTGACACATCTGAGTTAAAACTAGTATCTAATGATCCAAGTGACATGATACTAAGATCCAGTGGCAAGTTCAAATCATTGAAATAACTTCCTAAACTCTTCATGGAGGTGATTGAAGCATCCAACAACTGAAAATCTTCTGTGTGTCTACTTGGATCAGGAATGGAAACACCATTATTTTTGCACCACTTTGATATTAAGTTCTTCATGGCAACATTTGGAGTCAATGTCATATGAGGTAGTTCATCTTCTTTTTTTGGACATGTAGTTTTACCCTCATTAAACCACTTTGTTATCCACATTCTTTCGTATGTTACTCCAGAAGCAATGATAACAGGATCATACATCAATCTTGAGGATAACAGACACTTATATTCCTCAGGTGGTATCCCTTTATCCAACTCACCGGTGTGAGTTCTATACTGATCATATTCCGAGCTAGGATCCGGCTCAACACGATGATTTTGTAGTGAATGGCGACTAGAGTTATTATCCTTTGTAGTCGGTTCTTTGCTACGAGAATAAAACTTCTCCATGTGTTCTCTCACCACCATAGATTTTCTATGTTTTTTCGATAGATGCATAAGATATCTCAAGATCGATTGCTTTTTCTGGTCATTTGGTCCAATTTTATCTAGCAACTTATTAATAGGCCGTCCCTCGACTAACAAGGCCCTTTGTGATGTTATGTTCAGTCTCGGTACAGCAAACTGAAGAGCTTTAAGTTCAAAATCTTCCACCGAATCCAAGTTCGAAGTACCTTGCTGAAGCAACTCTGTTAAAACTTTCCCAGCCTCTTCTTCAGCAGAGTCCAAAACAAATGTAGCACGCCCAAGATCATCAATTATTCTAGAAACCTGCACATCACATTTCAATCCGAATTAGATATTAAAGATGGAGACCCTTTGTGTAATATTACACAACAGGAAATATAAAACTCAGTTTGAAGAAAACATTGACTAACCTCTACAGCCAACACAACTGGAACCATATCCTTAATGGGAATTAAGCTTTGTTCTAATGACTTTTTTGCTCTTTGGCATCTTGAAAGTACTGCATCTCCTGTCACTGCCTGAAAGTAATATTAATACAGACAATGTTAATAAATAGTGATCATATTTAGCTTACTTGTTAAGTAAGTTATATTATTGAGATATGCTTTAAAGAAAAAGAAGAAGAAAAAAAACACACCAGGTAGAGTTTGCTACATTCAGAGCAATGTTGTAAAAGTAGTTTGGATTTCTCAATTGCTTTGTTCAGATAAACCAGAGATTCTATTCCTGATGAACATCTTGGTCGTGCATCCTCTATGTCTGGAAATATCCTCATGATATCATCCAATATTCTCATCAATTCCATGCATATTTCACTATGTACCTGTTAATAGAAAATCCTTAGTTCTAACTCTAACACCTATGATAAACATAATAGTGAAATCCAATGTTATTTATTTATATATGTACCTGAAAGGATCTTGGTAAAGTCTCCACTATTTCACCACTAGTAGTTCTCATCAAAAGGAGTAGTATCCTTCAGCTACATATCAAACAAGAAAGTAACATATATTAAGCAGCATAACATAACAGAAACTTCAAACAGAGATTGAACATCAACAAAACTTAATTCACCAACTGTTTGCTTCAAGCTAATTCTCCACAACAATTGTCACTAACCTCATGTTCAAACAAACTCCTAACAGTAATATAACAGGTAGTTCATATGTCTCATAACACTCCAATCAACATCATGGTGGCTCAATGAGCAATGCAAGAGATAACAAACCTACTAATTTCAGTTTCGTGACAGTGCTAATTTGTTTCAATACAACATGACTCACCCTGACACTTCAATTCAACTAATTGTTTTCACTACATAATTAATTTCCATATTAAGCCATTTTGATGACAATGCTAACTTAATTTCAAACTAATTTCATTCACTATAACCTTACAATTTATTCATATAACCAAGTCCAAATTTGAACACTGCTAACTTCAAATTATAACAGTTTACTAACAGAAATTCCATTTGTAATTTATCTCTGGCTAAAGCAGGAGCAGGGTCGTCAAACCTCCCCCCAAGGATCCTTTTCTTCACCATTTCCTTAATAGATTTCTCAACCTTTTTATCTTTTCTTTTTATCTTCACCATTATCTGTGATTATCTGTGAAAGTTCTTAGTTTCTATACATGAAACACAATGTATTTTGATTAACAAACATACCATTTTGTATACCAAATTTGATTAACAAACACCTACAAATTGTACGAAATCATCAGTGGTAACTTGTCTTCGACCAATGGCTCTAAAAAGTTTTTAGAATTTAGGTGATTGTTATCTACAAGTCAAGTAAATGTTTAAAAATTTATCTAAATCAAATTGCAATTAAATTTTCATCATCGTCATTGGAATCCTCTTCATCTTCATTTTCTTGTATTGTTGACAAACTAACCTCTTCACCATCAACTTCATCATCTTGTAGGAGATCAATTGGGTCATCTTCAATTGTTACACTAACTTGTAAGTCTTGAATTTGAAAAGCAACCTCTAGTGTGTGCCTATCATCAACAACCCCTCTTGGCTTTGTCTTTATAGCTACCAACCAACCAACCTTATCTCTTGGGCGCTCAGGATAAGGTGAATAATAAACTTGAGTTGCAGGTTTTGGAAAAATAAAAGGATCAAATTTACTATATTTTCTCCCCTTACGAACTTCTACAATCTTGTACTGACGATGTATTCGCATCCCATGTCTTGAAGGGTCAAACCAATCACAGTAAAATAAAACCAACTTTTTTGTTGTTTGACTTGGCCATTGAAGTTCTAGAATTTCTGTAAGAATGTCATAATAGTCATTTGAAGTTTCATCTTGTCCTATTCCACTAACACACCCCACTGTTATAGGTTGTTTTTCCTTCACCCCAAGAAGTTGTGTGAAATTTGTATCCATTTTCAAAATAAATAGGCCAAGATTTTGCTAGTCTCAAAGGCCCCCTTGCCAAATCATACAAGTCGGAATTTTGTCTCTTATGTTTGCAATTCATCGTCACCTAGCCAAATAAATCAATTCATACATCTTAGTTTAAAAGCAAATTCTACATCTTTATTCTAGCCCAAATATCCTAGAATTGAAAACTTTATAAATATTCTTACGTATTTTTGAATATACATTACCTTGGGAAAAAGATAGGCCTAATGAAAAATTAGATCTAAGAGGAGTATGAATATTGGAACCAAAAAAATGCATGAGTGTTGATGAAACCTATCACCTATTCACCTATCACTGTGAACCTAGTTCTAGGCACCTGAATTGAATATAGAAGAATTGTTCCCTGACACTAAAAGACAACACATAAATTTAAACTTTGCAGCATAAATTCCTATTGTGTGCAACAGTTTTGAGCCAGACTACCATAGCCCACATACAGTTTTGAGCCAGACTACCATAGCCCACATACAGTTTTGATATGGTTTATATTGATTTATGTTCCTCTTACTAATTCCCACTCTATTTCCTAGCCAGAAATTACCTCAAGAATCTGTTTCAGCAGGAGGCTTAAATCGATTGTCTGTACCTACTGCTATCAATATTAATCCTCCTACCTGTGTATCTCCAATAGTCGGCAATAATCCTACGCCCAACAATATAGAGGCCCCTAATTCTCTCAGTTCTGTCTCATCACCTGGTCCACACAGTTCTATACATTCTGTCAATCAGGACCATAACATGGACAGTCTACAACCTTATCTTAAGAATCCTAGTACATCTAGCCAGGCTGTTCACAACATCAGAACTGTCCCACCTGTACACATATCCAATGATACAGTCCCTTATGACCTGGCACCTAATAAATCCAATACTCCACCTTCTAGTCACGAATCTCCATCTACACATGTTCTAAGGACAATGCCCAATTCAGTACTTCTGAAACTTCATCTTACCCAGCAATCCTGCACACAGATTTATGATCACATGTTGAACTGTAACAATATTTGTTAATGAAATATTCAGCTGGGGCAAAACCTCCTTCTAATGTTACAAATATGGATGCTACATTAAATCATAACAAACTATCAAGAAGCTCAAATGGTCAAACATTAAGCTAAACTCAACCCAATATCCTTAAACATACACAGTTTAAAGTTAAGCACAATTTCTGATACCAAAATTCACAGAGACATTTCATCAAACAGTTAATAGGTGCAAATAGTAATAACAACAACTCGTTCCCAGTTTCCAATAACAGAGCCAAAACCAACTAAGGAGCGTAATTGTATGCATAGAATATCAAGATGTTCAAACAAAAGCATACATAATTGAAAACAAAACTCATCGAAATGAAAAAACGGTGAAGAAAAGCAAAAAGTATTGTCGTTTATTACCTTTGATTGAGAATCTAGTCAAGTGGCGATAGAACGACAAAATCCGGTTCCCGTTTTGTGGTAACTGAATGAGTCTCGAGTTTACTACGTGGGGCTTCTTTAAAGAGTAGTTATGTTTCCACCTTCCTACCGCTCATAGAAATCCCAAATATAATTCTGAGGGGAAAAAAATGGAACAGACAAGTCATAAGCTACTTCAAGCGAAGTTATTTCTTGGGGTAGTTTAGTAAAATGGCAAAGACAATTTGTTTAAGTTTTTTTTTTCTTTTACTCCAAAATTTTTGGATAATATATCAATATTTTTATTTTATTTTATCATCTTTTAAATTATAAAATTAAAAATTAATAAATTGATCTCTAGTATAATAATTTAGGTATTTCATCAAAATATTTTAATACACAATAAATAAAAGCCTTTTTATATAAAATAACAAATTGAAAGGATTATATATAAATTGATCTCTAGTATAATAAAAGGATTATTTTATTAAAAGGATCAATTGATCTCTAGTTTAATAAAAGCCTTTTTATCATCTTTTAAATTATAAAATTGTATTGAAAATTAATAAATTGATCTCTAGTATAATAATCTAGTTATTTCATCAAAATATTTTAATACACAAGATGAATAAAAGCCTTTTTATATAAAATAACAAAATTTGATGAAATAACAAAATTGAAAATATTTTTATATTATATATATTTTATTAAAAGGATTATATATAATATAAAAATATATGTTATCAATTGAGTAAATGGATTATTTTATTGTCTTTTTAAATTTTAAATTTAAAAAAAAATTATAAGTTGAAGTATTACACATCAATTGTATTATAAATTGTATCATAAAATTAGTTATCTATTGTATTATACAATTAGTTATCTATGTGTAATACAATTGTATTATAAACTTATAAATTGTATTATAAATTAGTTATCTATTGTATCATAAAATTATAAGTTGAAGTATTACACATCAATTGTATTACACATCAATTGTATCAATAACTAAAAAAACTCAATTAATATTATAAAACCTTTTTAAGAAAAACAAAAATTTAATATAAAATTAAAAAATGTCTGAACAACATATTCTTGGAATCAATATTTATTTTATAATTTTATTTATTAATCGTAAAAATATAATTAAAACTAAAACTACATTAAATAATTCGCAGCAAACGTCGCAGAAAAGTTTTACAGCAAATTCCGCAGCAAATCTCGCAGCAACTCCTGCGATATTTCCAGAGACGTTTGTGGTTTCAATAGATAACTAATTCCTGCGAAGGAAATCGCAGACAATTCCGCAGGAAATTTACTTTTTAATTCTAAATCTAAAATCGCAGCCAAAATCTCAGAAATTCCTGCGAAATTTGCTGCTACCACGTTTTCGCAGGAAATGATGTTTCACAATATAGGAGCGCAGGAAAAATCGCATGTAATTCTGCTAAACATTTTCCGCAGGAAAATCCGCAGGTAAACTCTGTATTTCTAGTTATGTACTATCCTAAAATTTTGGTAAGAGAAAAAAAAATGTTTTAAACAAATTATGTTTTATAAGTATAAAATTTAGAAAAAAATTATAAAACATGTAAAAATTATATATATTTTTAAATTAAAATTGTTTTCTTTTTTGTATTTGTTTCATTTAATACACTTCTTTTTTTAGCAACCGAATTATGAATTTTAAATTCCTTTTATAATTGGCAAAATATCCTTCTTGGTCCCTTAAGTATACCTCGGGGTTCATTTTCGTCCCTTAACTTTAAAAAGTTCCATATTGGTCCCTTAACTCTTCAAATGTTCCATATTAGTCCTTTTTGACCTATTAGCGACGGATTTAGCGACGGTTTTTTGATTTTTTTTTCCGTCGCTAATAGGTCAAAAAGGACTAATATGGAATGTTTGAAGAGTTAAGGGACCAATATGGAACTTTTTAAAGTTAAGGGACCAAAATGAACCCCGAGGTATAGTTAAGGGACCAAGAAGGATATTTTGCCTTTATAATTTCTATTAAAAAATATATAATTTTTCACATGGCAGCTTAATCACCGTCCTGTCATTGTTCAACTGTGCAAAAAACTCACATCCTACCCTCCACCAAGTTAGCTTACATTAACTTCTTATTTTT